CAAAGGTAATTCCTGGCAGGAGAGGAGCATGCACGGGTGCAGTCCCCAAACTTCTGCTCATTCACTTACTCTTATTCTGCCAAACCGTTTCAGGAAATTCCAAAAACACTTTCAGTCTTCCCGTTGCAGCTTAGAGGAGAGAAATAGCTGCCTGCCCTGATACTTCTCTACAGCATCTCCTTCCATACTGTGACACAAGGGGCTGGATATCACCAGTATCCTCAGGCTTCTTGGTTGCCTCTCCATTCCTGCTCTATTCCATCATACGCTGTTGTACCAGTAAGAATAGTGCTATAAATCTGTTTGGGGTTTGATAATGGTAGCTGTTCTTTTTTTTTTTTTTTTTTTTTCTTTGGGCAAAGAAAAAGAATCCCCCACCAAGCTGCAAAGCTATCGTGCAGAACAACTTGTAATCCTGTAGACGCAGCAGTAGATGTTACGATGATGGTGTATTTATCTATATATAGCTCAAAGCCTTGGCAGATGAGCCACTTAATGAGCATGGAATTAAGGTCTTTTGGAGATGTAGTCTTTCTTGCTGTCCACCACAGTGGACATTTCTACAGCTTTTTTTCTCAACTTGTGTTTGGCAGGACTGGGTCTGGTGTCAGTTGCCATAGCGTCAATCAGGAGGAGATGTGGTGTGTTAAATGCGACCTGTGTGCCAGGGTAAGGCCACGACTGGGACCTTTCACCAGACAAGAGTTGTGTCCTTTCAAAATTGTTCRTTCACAATTCCTTATGTGTCTGGGTATGTTAGGTTTTATCCCCTTTTTTTTCTTTCACATTACATTTTGTTTGCCCTTTACTGCTGCTTCTCTTCTTCTGCTTTCTTTTCCACCATAATGTGCTTTAAATTGAGGTGGATTGGGTGTCTTTTTGAAAGACATTTCTTTCAAGCACCAGGTTTCCTATAATCAAATGCAAATAAGTGAGTGCAACAGTTTTCACTGGGTGGCAAATATATCCAGCATGATCCACTAGCAATTGTTTTTCAATGATGAATTTAACTTCTGGGGGGCTAAGACTTTCTGAAGCTATAAAAAGAAAGATGTGGGAAAACATGTTACCAAACGTGGCCCTTTTTTTGCCTCTCCATTTCTCAGTTCTTGTTTATTTTTTCAGTGAATGAAGTTAGGATTTCGTAACTACCAACTACACCAAACCTCATGGTTTGAAAGGGAGGTTTAAATGCAAAACATTGGGAGAAGTCATTTTGCTCATCTGAAAAGTAACAGTTAACTGTAGTGTAACAAGGGYGAAAAGAGTCTTCCAGAAAAAAAACCTTCCCAGAGATATTTTAAGACCTTAGGTCATGAGTTAGGTCATGAGCTCCTTAGCATTTGGTGAGGCATCTGAGTAGACCCTTGGGTTATAGATGAGGACAGGTGCAGGAGAGAGGCCTATAAATACTTTTACCCTTAAGGAGCTCACAGGCTGCAGAGAGTTGCCTTCTTGAATGACAAATCRGACAGAAACATGTTCCCTCTGAAGGGGGGAAATTTTAATAGTTTTAGAAGAATTTGGAGGTTTGTTTTCCAACACATCACCTCCTAGTTTTTACAATTAAAAGTTAGGATGTTCCTGATGGTTACCTTATAATGTTATGGAAGGTCTTTTAGAGGGTATAACATGCGTTGATGCAGTGTCCCTGGCATGTTGGGGGTATTTCTGTGCTCGCTCTCTGCCCGCTGGGCTGCAYACAGAACTGCTCGTCTGCGACCTTCTATTTTAAGGCTTGAGTGCCTTAAGGCTCGAGCGTGTGTGAGCAGGGCCCTTGGGAGCGGTTCTGCCATTTAGACACATCTAGAAATACTGTCCATGGGCTCATTTTGTACAAAGCTCCCTGAGATCCTTACAGGAAAAAAAAAACCCCACACTAACTGTGATGGTAAAGCCTGCCTATCCTTTCCTTTGTTTTTCAGGTGAATACAGGTGGTTTTGGTCTCCTCTTGCTTGATGTTAGGCCACACATGTGTGTGGCTCCCTTTGCCCAGCATGGACCCTCCAGCTTCCCCAGGGCTGCAGCTCTCAGAGACCTTTTGAGTGAGTTTGTGATTTTATTACCTTTGCCTCCCTCTGAGCAAACACTCCGATTCTTCCCAGGTGAAGCCTACAGGGCTCTGCACTCACTCTGACTGACCTAATTTGAATCTTTAATAATCTTTTAAGATGACTTTTCAGAGAACTGGCAGAACCGGTTTGAGTATGAAGTTCGGTGTCATTTCCTGCCTATTCTATGGAGAAAAAAAAAATAATTCCAGCCTTCCCAGGAAGGGCATGTTTGAAGTCTTTCCCAGTTACTGGGCAAGCTCTGCCCCTGCCTGTGGATATATGGCCTGACAGAAGCATCACAATACCCACAGCTTCCAGCCTGCCCTGGGAAGCGACACCATATAGTCCTTAACCTCTAAGAGCCTGTTCCCATCACCTATTTATGTAACGAAGAAGGAGGGTTGAAAGAAATACACACACATATATGTGCATATATTCTTTACATATATATACATCTACAGGTACACACATTTCTCTGGCTCCTTTAGGTGACTATCTGGATTTGTAAAGGGCCTGGTTAAATGTCCAGAATTCAAAATGAGTAGGCAGTAGGCATTTCATTTCTCTTAACCTCTCTCATTTCCCCACAAGCAATTAAAACTGCTGTTAGGGAGTTCCTGCACCTATCCTTGATGAATGAGGTGGAAGGAAAAAAAATAGTAATTGCACTATTGCAGAATCGATGTTATCTCAAAGAATCAACTTTTTTTTTTTCAGTATACAAAATTAATCTGCAAACAATCTTTCTTCAGGTATCAATTAAAGAGGGAGAGACTACACAAGCAACTTGATGTCTAAGCCCGCCTTTCTTAGCCAGCTGGAAGCGAACTTCCCAGGCAGGGGAAGCTGTTAGTGCAAGGTAGGATGAGCATGTTTGCACGTGTTTGTGCTTTACATATTCTCTCTACTAGAAAAAAAAAAAAAAAAAAAGTTTAAATTGCCATTAAAATTCAGCCCCATGGATGCAGGGTTTCTTGATACAAACAAAGCTTATTAATTCAACATTTTCATGTAAATGAGGACACGAGATTTTATTTTTCTGTGGAGGTCATGGCATCCTGCAGTTTTTTTTTTAACTCTGGGCTCCTTTCCTCCCCGTGTGCCTCATGCTTTTTCGTATGTCCCAGAGGTTCCCTGTCATCCTTAAGAAYGGAGCTGTGCGGGAATTCTGTGGGAGCCTCTCAGCACCCCTCCCACATTAGCCAGACAGGAGACTGTTCTCCTCATTTCGCAAGATATTTGCTTTACCCTCCGGCAAAAGTGCCACCTCACAGGATTCCCAGCCACGAGGCTCGACACTTTTTAAGGATTTTTTGGTGACAGAGCAGTAAGTCGTCCGAACCAAGGAACAAAGTGAAGAAAAGAAGAATTTCRTAATGCATCAAGGTTTTTGAATGCCATGTAATTAGATGACTTTTGAATACTTCACTATACTCGCTTTGGAAAGGCCCTAATCTGCTCTAATTGGCTTCGCAGTAACGGCAAAGGGAAAAGTTGGCTGCCAATAAATCTGCAGCCTTTTGCAACAGCCCCCTTGCCTGGTGCTTTTAAAAATCCACACAAGTGCATTGCTGCTTATGTTCTGATGGGTTTAAATAGTATTTTCCTAGTGACCAATAGGTACGGATTAATGAATAATGTCTGTATAGAGGACAAGAGATTTCAGTCTCTAGGAAGGTTTCACCTAAGAGTTTTTATTACTGTCTTCATGAGTTTGGACATTAAGGGAATGCAGTGAGAAACCATCCCGTYTTTAGTCGGGCATAAGGAAAGCTTCTGCTTTGGCAACAAAAGGGCCTGGTGGCAGTGCCTGGCTGTGACCCTTCCTGAACCCGGGATACGGTTACTGCTGCATCCACGTTCTGGCTTTTCT